CAGGGCCTCTTTGTCAGTGGCAAAATACTTTTGGCTGGCCAAATCATGTCCTTATAATATGAAACACGAGCAGTTTACTAGTTTCATACATGTTCAGTTGTTAGGCATATTTAGTCTGACTCTTCCAGCCAACAAGCATAACAGCAGCTGTTTTTGTTGACAAATCAAATGAGCTCATTGTAACATTCTTGCACAATTAAAATGTTCATCAGAAAATTAAGTTGAAACTCAACAGCCATGTCCTATCAAAACCCATCTACCTTCTAATAAATGAAACTTACCTCTCCTCAGTGGTTTTCATGCAATGATTCTTCAGCACTCATGGTTATCATAACCACCATCCAGTAATGAAAACAATAAAAGTTTTATATGTATCTTCTGCATTCATAATAATGTGTTTAATTTTATTTATTGTTAGCAGTATATAAAGGATAAAAATAAATAAAACAAATTATGATGTAGAAAGAAAATCTAAGACTTTGATTGTATGTATGTACCATGGATGGTGGACAAATTATATCAAAATGTGTATTTCCATCCACTTCATGGCTATATTGAATAGCAGGGGAAATACATACATCTTGGATTTAGTGATAATGCACTTCTTCCAAATAACATGGAGAAGATAATTTATTTGTTACATAGAGAATTCATGTATCCATTTCAGGAACTCATGCATAAAACTTTAGCACACCCTCTGATTAGCTTTACAACTTTTTTGTGTATTGTTTTTTTTTTAAACCCTTCCTTCTCTTTTCAAACAGTAAAAGGTTAACCTTGAGCCAATCAGCTCTGCCAAAACATAGTTTAAATTCACACAGAAAATCCCCTTGCTTTTCTGCAGAAATGACTCTCGTCCAAATTGCCATTTTTCAATAGCAAAAATGTGCCAGGATTTGTTGGCAAAGCAGTCAAGTCAGCATGATTTTGTCTAACAACACATGAATTTTCTCAAAAACAGGCCCATTACATTGCAGCCATGTTAAAAGGTGCATGTTTTTGCAACAGCTCCTCTGAGGATGACCCCTTAGGGGACTTTTCCTGTCATTTAAAACTATAAGAGTTAGAGTTAACTTTACACTATATGCAACACAGCTTTAGTTTCATGACTCTCAAGATATGAGTCAGAGTTCCTTAAATACAAGCATAACATCTTTTATTTAACATAAGTGAGAGAACTTAGTGGCCCGTTCTTGTGTTCTTTGGGCAGAATACAATGAGGTGCTTCTGCCCTGGATGATTCTACTGGCTCACTTGCATAAGTGGTTCCTACTGCTGGTGCAAGAGCACTGGGGCAGCTGAAAATGAGCAGAAACACTCATTTCTGGGTGGTCCGCAGAACTCACATATAGCCTTTGTGAAACAAGAATTCCAACACATCTTCAGGCTTCCCATAGAAAGTGCTAAATCTTCATTGGATAAGTGGTGGATCCTGCTTGTGCAAGGAAATTGGACTGCTCCACTGTTGGCAGAAAGGAATTGACATGGCAGAAGCAATGGATGGGGGCATAAGCAATTCAAACTACCCAGAAGCAACTAGTAACCTGCTTGGATGCTAGGAAACCACACAGTGATACTCTGATAACTACCTACAACATCTGCAATATATTTATTAATATCAACCAAATAGTTTTCAGTTGATAATCTGCTGACAGGCACTGGCAGAATAACTTCTACTCCAAATTAAGTGACTCGACACAGCTAACATAAATAAATAATGTGATTACAAATTCAAGAAGTCAGACATCTTCCCTTCCTATCAGCAACACAGAATCACCATAGGTTCAACTGCCCTCAGAGGGAAAAGTACATCAGACACTGGTAGACATATAATAATAGTGGAAGAGACATTTGGGAAGAGACCTTCCTCATCTGCACCTACTGCACCTCACTGATGGGTGAATCAGATCTCAGACACAGAATGGCATCAGGAGAGGAAATTACGAGATGCCTTCAAAAAAACCCTGCTGTGAACTGTCTAGGTCTTAGTAACTTAAATGAGCGACTTAACAGTGACCTACTTCTTCTTTCTCTATGGCTTCTCCCCTTCTCTAAGGGATAGAGGAAGAAGTGGCAAAGAGCTTTAGGAATTCCCAAGCCCTGATGAAATTCCTTTACCTATCAAGAAATGGGAATGCACATGCCATCATTTTTGCATGATTCTTGATGAACCACCTGGTATGTTCACTGAGGCTCAGTCTTTTTTGGAGTAGTCAGAATAGGAACCTTCATCTTGAGTCCAACAGATTGCAGATAAGCATTGGACTCATAAAAGGCTGGTTTTGTGATACCATATAGATGTACAATACACTATATAAAACAATACATCATCCATTATATATACATGCATCTCACGGTAGTGATCAAAACAGACAAAGTGATTCTTCAGATCTGCTCTCCAGGGCTAACTGTAGACTTATAGATAAACTATAAATCTTCAAGGCCCTGTTTTCCTGTCTTATGTTTCTTTATCTTTAAACTAGACAGCCGTCAACTAGGAGATGCCTTCAACCTCAGGATTGTCCTCCAACAGTCCCTCAATTTAGGGACATGTAAAATAGGACACATGGGCACCCTACTGTTGAATCTCAATAGAAGGCAACTCTTAGAATAGCCATGGACTTGTAGAGACCAGTGGAAGGAGGAGGACAAAGGGAAGAATGGAGAAAATGCTATCCTACTCACTCCACTCTCTATGAATGATTAAAGATTTCCTCTTGGTTTTTAAAAATGTTTTTTGGTTCAGAAAAAGTAATTAAATACTACCAAGTCTTTCTCCATTGCACTGAAGCATATTTTTTAGAAAGTCCAAACAGTGCAAGCAAAATAATGTGCAGGGTTTTTTAAAAATGATTTTGGCCAATTTTCTGCTTTCTAGTATAATGGGTGTGGCAACACTCTTGGCCCTGAGACACTTGAATCGAAACTCTGAGATACAGTTCTTAGAAGTAAAGCTGTAAAACCATAGTGCAATATCCAAAAATGTTAACAAATACTGGAGAATTAAGTTGGGGGTGTGATGGCTAAATATCAGAACTTTCCTTATAGGATGCCAGAATCTCTTTTCTCTGCTTTGTTTTAATAGACCATCACGAAACATGAACTAAAAGTAGTCACCTTCCTTTAAGAAAATGTCCTTTCTGTCATTTGAACTGTTAACCCTGGCTAAAATACTTATCAGCGTAGATAAGCAAACAACCAATGGGACATCATAAGATACATTCAGTCCATGACACAATGCAGATGGTAAAGATAGGTTGCAAAAGAGTTGGACAGATATTTTGGCACCAGAAACAGAAGGTCAAGTAGCACTGACCCAACAGTATAAATGCACAACTGCACACACATACAATCACATACAAGTTTAGTCAGAAAACAGGCTTTATAGCTTCCCAGTATGCCCCAGCCAGTTTAGCTGGCTATATCTGTGTCACATTGGGAGTTATAGGCCTTTCTTCTGCCTAAACTTGCACAAGTTTGCATCTTAAATTAATTGACAAGTTGCTAAACATTATTGATGTCTACCAGACAAAACTGGCTCTGCTTGATGGTAGGCACAAACCCTGCCTTCCAAAAGAAATATTTTGCATTTGTTGGGTAGGAAGAGATTAATTCTTAAAGTATTTGCATTTTTGGCATGAAAACAGACAATTATCTGTACGCCATTCTGAGAGTGTTCACTAAAGGATGGTTGATAAAAACTTTAAATAAATAAATAACATGTATATACAAAGGGAGTAGTGCTGGAATGAGAAAACTCAGTGTGGTCTTAAGTATGTTTACAGTGTGATCCCAAATATGTTTAGAATGTGATCCTAAGTATGTTTATTCTGAAGGCAGGACGTACTGAGTTGCACACCTATCATTAGCATGGCATACAGTTGTAGCCTAAGTGGGATGTGCATGCCAGGGTAACCAACAAGGAAAGGGATGTGGGAAGGATGGGAGATCTTCAGATAAATTTCAGGTAGTTAAGGGTGATTCATTCCATGGCAGCCTCAAGGGCAATCACAAATCAAACGCATTACCAGATGGGAGAAGGCTATTCGTGCAGAAAGAGGCAGATTAAAGAGAGAGATACGAGTACACGGGGAGGTCAGTGTATAACCGAGGCAATGGAAGGGGTAAAGTTAACTTGGGTATTGAGGGACAGGGACCCACTAAGAACAATAAACTGGAATTCAAGACTCGCCTATGTTTGGCGTCCGTGCAAAAGCGTGTTTGCAAGCATTGCCTCTCCTTTCTCCGCACACTCGTCACCTTTTCTGGCTCCCTGGAGGGCTGCGCGGGGAGAGCGCTGAAGAACAGGCGGGATGGAGAGCGCGCTGCGAGAGGAGGGCGAGAGAGGGAGGGCAAAGGGGCCAGGCCGTGCCAAGAGATGGCGGGGGGGGTTTCAAGGGGGGTACAGCAGTCCTGTGCGGGGAAGTGGCGCTAACTCGAGGGAAAGCAGCTTTCGGGGAAAGGGTGGCGGGCGGATGAGCAGTCACCGGCCAACAAAAGCGCGGCCAACTCAGCGACAGAGTCCCACCCGGCCCGGGTCCTCCACGTCCGCCAAGCCAGAAAAGCCGCGCGTCGACAGGGGTGCCCCGCAGCCATGCGCCGGCGACTTGCCGGCGGAACCTCAGTGCAGGCAGCGCCCAACCTTCCTCCCGGTCTAACGCGAGCTTGGCGTGTCCAGCCCAGCCCGGCCCGGCGAGCGGGAGAGCGCGTGTCTGCACAGCGAGGGCTGCGAGTCGAGGCGGGACGCCCCGGGCAGCCCGGCGACTCTGGCAAGCGCCCAGCGCGAGGGGACCGGAGGCGCGCTGCGGCCAGCCGGGGGGTGGCGGGCACGCGCGCGCCGCTCCTCGCCAGGCGGGCGGGGGCGTGTTTCGCGGCGGGGGCGTGTTTCCCCCGCCACTTCCATCCACTCACCTCTGCCGCGGCTCCTCTCCCACGCGCGCGCGCGCGCACGGACAGACGCCCGTCCTTCGCCTTCTCGTGAACTTCCCTTTCCATTGATTGGCGGCTTGCGAAGTGCGGCACAAGAACTCTGCCTGCGCGGACCCGGTTGGAAGCAAGCAGCTGAGAAATAACGGGGGAAGAAAGTCCAGGTACGGCTCTCCATATATCTGTCCGTCTGTCTGTCTGTCTGTCTTTCGGTGGGTTTTAAATAGCCTGTTTTGTGGGAATCCGGTTTTAGTTTTATTTTTTCCTTGCCCTGCCTCGCTTTTGGCACTTTTAATTTTATGTTACTCAGATGTGTGAGAAGGTCCACTTAGTATTTCCTCATCCAATTTATGTAAGCCGTCCCGAGGCTATGCAATGGGACGGCATACAAATGCTCTAAATAAATAAATAATCCCTCTGAAGAAGTGGAGCGTAATCCCGATAGAATTTGTGGAGGAATAAAGTAGTTGGCGCTTCCTTAAGGTGCTACGAGATTCCGTTTTGTCTTTGCTGCAATGGATTGGGAATCAATTGTAAACAGATTTACACGATTTGTTTTAGCAGTTCTGGTTTATTTGACGTTGCTTTCTTAAAAGAAAGCATCTGAAACAGTCTTCCCCCACAATCTCGTGTCTGCCAGAACAGTTGGACTACAGTGCCCAGCATTTCTTACTGTTAACCACGTTGGCAGGCATTAATAGGAACTGTAATCCAAAACTTCTGGAAGGCAGCAGATTAGAGGAAGTTTTGGACAGTTCTTCACAGGAGCCAGGCTCATTGAAATACGTTGACAGTGACTTTAAAGTGGAATGAGGATAGAAAGGAAAGGAATTGCTTCATTATTTCCAAAGCTACCTGAAGCCAAGTTCTTGGATTGTTTTCTTTCTCTTTCACCACACTACCTTCGGATCAAGTTAGGGGGTTGTATGTGCACCCACTAGCTAGTTGGAAGTGAGAACCTGCAGGCAAGAAAGGAGAAAAAAAGGGGGGGGGATGATGAGCAGATCTGTCAACAGTGTTCACACTTAGTGATGCTGTGTAAAAAGTCAATGAGAAATATGATGCAGAGCTACTGCAGTACAGAAAGAATGACTGGACCAAAGAATGACAAGTGTTACTATTGGTTGCCTTAGTCTGCCAGCATTCCAAGGGACTCAAAATGGTGAGCATCATTCTCTATCCTCACAGCAACCCTGCAGGATAGTATTATGCAGAGAGGTAGTGACTGGCCCAAAATTACCACATAACCTAGTCCAACTCATTAATCACTACATCCATGCTAGCTCACATGATTATTATCAAGTATTACTGAATGTGCTTTGGAGTCCACATTCAACAGCACTATAGATGAAATGTGTTAACCCAAGACCTTATATTAAAGGTTCACCTATTAGGGTTGAACTAATTCAAGTTTCACAGTGTTATGTGCCATCCTCCTGTGATGTGGAGAGGGGAGCATTTATGGGGTAGCTTCTGCTTCTTCCTATGCCCCATCAGCTTATTATACCCACAGCCCAAACCTGTCTGCTTGCTTGCTTGCTTCCTTGCTTGTTTTAGATCCCTTCCTTTGGCATAGGAGTAGATGAGAATTAGATACACCAGTTCCTGGGCTGTTGTAATTTCTGGGCTGCTTCGGGGGTGTGTATGGGGGATCAAAGCATCCCTCAATCGGCCCCTGGCACCCTCTGTCATTAGCACTGACCTATGGCAGAGATTTCTTCCATTACCAAATCAAAGGGGCCTCTTGTAATGGACCACCAACCACAGAGAGGAAGGTATGCAGCATCCGAAGGATCCTGGAGTGCCTGCCCAGGAACCATAACCTTGCTGCCTGTATTACATATCTGGTAGCCTATAAATGCATTCTTGAGACTTACCCATACATTAACATAGCCAAAAAGTAAATGTTCTTTTTTCCCCATTATAAGACCCCATTCCACTCTAATCTACTATTTAGCATTAGTAAAGACCTATAACATTACAAAAAACAGGAAATGGAGAAAGAACTAGGGCCATTTCTTTGATATTCTAAAAAAAGTATGGAAAAGTAGGTTAAAGTTTAACTGCTATCAGTACTGCTTGTGTGTATTAGCTTTCTTAACCAGGGCAGTCATCCTTTGAAACTCCTTAATTTTTCTAGGCCTAATTTACTTGGCAGGGAAGGACTTGACGTGTTCTTTGGCAAAGACAAACCACTAGCAGATTTATGAATGCTCTAAATAATAAAACTGGGGCTTTATTTTTTCATAAGAATAGCCTGGCAGTGTGTCAGATTTCATATTTTAATACCTGTCAGCAACAGCCCCCCCTTTGTCACCACCTTCACTAAGCAAACAGCTGTAATGGATTTTTTAAAAAACTGCATTGGTTGACTTTATTTTTTTAAGCTGCAGAAAGTATTTTTCCCCCTAAATGCTTTTCTGGGATTTCTTCAAAGCTCCCAAGATAGACTTTAATCAAAACAAGTTCTCCAATTAAAGATACAAATGTGTGAGAGCACATCTTGACATGATGCCCTGTGTTGTGTTCTGTTTTCTAGCCTTTCATTTGTTCACACTTGCCGAGAGACCTGCTGGTTAAGATCGTTGCACAGGATGAATGGAACAAGCAGAAACATTCCCTGCTTACTAAGATGCTTCTTTGGTTTCTGCTTGGCTGCTTTCCCTGGCAGCAGTGCCTGTCCTAAACTCTGCGCCTGCTACGTCCCTACAGAAGTACATTGCACATTCCGGTATCTGACCACCATCCCACCACACATCTCCCCAAATGTGGAACGCATCAACCTAGGGTATGTTTACACAGTATTGCTCAAATTCTGATGTGCAGTAATGAGATCTGGTTAGTTGTAGACACATCAACATGTCATAAGAAAAATCTTATTGGGACACAAGCTAATCCATTGGACCCCATCTTGTTGGCTTGAATGAGAGCAAGATCACTCCATCTAATTCTTGCCTAAAGGCAGGAGACTCATCCTATCAGCTTTCATCCAGTTAACTCCATGATTTGCTTGATCAGTTGTTATTGTTTTTCCCCCAGGCCGGGAGATCACCCAAGTATAAATTTGCCTGTGGTGACAGGATAGATCAGGCATCCAAACTCTCCAAATGCTTCGAGAAAGGAGGGGGCTCTTGCTAGCATTGTACAGAAGGCATTGTACAGCGAGCTCATCTTTTCTTCTGGTAGGAAAACAGATGGAAGAAGCAGTGGGAAAATATGGAAGGGTTATAGCATGAAGACACTGTCATCTGGACTCCCTGTAAGACTCTGAATGAGGCAGTGTGATTGCACCCAAGAAGCCTTGCCTGGAAGGGCCTAAGGGTGCCTGTCATCATCTCTACAGCATCTTACCTTTTCTTGTACACAGTTGATTGCAGGTACACTGACATAGCAAGACTCCCACACTAGCCCTCCCCTGCCCATCCTCTGGCATCGCTTTCAAAGCCGAGAGGGAAAACATCTGCTTCTGTTTTTAAGCCATGTCCAGTCCAAACAACTTTGTTTTTTTTTTAAATATGGTTTACTAACTAGTCACAATGGTAAGCCATGGTTTGATCCTGGCATCTTTGAACCAATCATAATTTAAGCTAGGGATATGCCCGATTTTGCTCAAGACAAGCCAGGCTGAGGGGGCAAGGAATCCAGCAAGAGAGGAGGAGGGAGAGCAGCAGGTGGCTGGGAGTGGCAATGGTGAGATATCTAGGCATTTCGAAAAGGCTTTTGCATATCCAAATAGATGGGGCCCTGCATTTTAGTAAAGTAGAGAAGGGTAGGGGGTTCCGTTGGAACTTTGAAGGTATCCTGACAAAGAGTGGGCATGTATACATGCAGAATACATAGGTTGTTTGCTTATGTGTGAAAGGAGGGTGGGAGGTGTGTGTGTGTGTGTGTGTGTGTGTGTGTGTGTGAGAGAGAGAGAGAGAGAGAGAGAGAGAGAGAGAGAGAGAGAGAGAGAGAATAGATGGGAAGAATGAGTTGGTTGCCAGAGGGAGGTGAGAGGAAAAATACACCTTCTGTAAACTAACTTACTGTTGACTCAACAAGTGATTGAAATAAGTTTAGAGTGTTGGGTTCAGACCCTGCTTTAGCCTTTCAGTAGGTTATCTGACCTTGGTGACTACCCTTGGCCACCAAGGCAACCATTTTTTAATGGTGTCCAGACAAGTTTTTCAGATTGCAAAATGTTCCCATGGGCTCTGAAAGATTCCCTACCGTCACTTCAAAAGGTCTGTCTAGTATACTGCAGTGCCTTCTCCCATGTATACTTCACCATAAGTTAATGGGAAGAAGCTTTGCTTTGTACTTTGTCAGCCATTGTAGTAGGTAAATTAGAAGGAACATGGGATAACCAGATTTTCCTCCTCACCTGACTTAGAAATAATGAGAAACTAGTTTATTTAAACACTGGAAGTGTATGCTTCCAATCTTCGTATAGCTTCATTAGAAAAGTGGTTAGGTAGTCAAGCATTTGTCAAGCACTGTCTGACTTACTCCTCTGTATGACAAATTTCCATAAACAAATCGAACCAGGCTGTTCCAGTGGCAAGAGAAAGGCCTCCCCAAATACAAACATACCATACTATCTTATAAGAAAAACGGGTTCGGTGATAAGCCCTAACAAACAGCATTCAGACAGAATTGTTTCATTCTTGTTTTTGATCAACTGACCATTTTTATAAAAATTATACAAATATACTTGAATTTGGTGAAGTATTTTGTAGTATGTTTCACTCTTCCTGGCAATCCCTCACTGTCATTACATGGATGAGGAATGAAGGTCAAAAGATAATTACTAGTTCAAGGATATCAAGTAAGTCTGTCAATAATTTGAATGCAAACACACTGTATATGAAAGTAATTATGTTTATAATATCCATCAGGTTATCATTTACTACACATATATTGTTTTCTGAAGTGTCATGCTCTGCCCAGAGAGCTATTCTATGGAGCAGAATAGAAATAAATTTGATGATGAGGATGAGGTCTTGGGAACATCTGAAGTCTTGACAAAGCTTGTCCTTCCACCACAGCTTGTCCGTCCAACACATGTCTTTGGATGTCATGCGTGGTCTGAGACATCGCAGAGGGTTCATGCTGTTCTTTAAAGACCCTTATTCTGCATTTTACAGAGTATTAAGAAGTTAAGCAGGAGTCCTGCCCCTTGGTGATTTTGCTGATAACAAATGTAAGCAGCTTCAACTCTCCAAATGTTTTGTTCTACAGCTCCCTGGATCTCTCACCATTTCCTATGCTGGCTAAAATGATGGGAACTGTGGGTCAAAATATTTCCACCCCTGAATTAGAAGGTTGATTTATCAATAAATTGATAAGATTGCAATATTTAAAGTGTGGCTGTAATGAGTGTGCTGTAACTAGTATTATATTGTGTTTTTATGAGGCACTTTAAAAACAACAGCTGAATAGTGGAATCAGTAAATGGTCTGTGTAATCCAGGAGACATGATAAGAAGGAGAAACATTTTATCTGCCAATGTTTTTGAATCTCATATGACACGTTTTAACTTAACTAAACTCTGCTTACACATTGCAAAAGAGAGACTCTGTTTTTGTTTGTTTGTTTTACTTTTGGACTATAGCTGACTGACTAAACCCAGATCTGGAATGAAATGTTTGTTACAGTTACAACAGTTTGGTTAAACTGACTGAAACAGATTTTTCTGGCCTGGAGAAGCTGGAGTTGTTGATGTTGCACAGTAATCAGATACGTACTATTCAAGACAGAACATTTTCTGATTTACATGCATTACAGGTAAGAATGCACTAGAAATGATCCACCATTGGTTTCGGTGGCATGTCCAGTTTTTTCCATCATAGTATTTTTAATACACTTAATACAAAAATACACTTTCAAGTCATGGAATATGTAGATTTGTTGCAGTCTATTCTCCTTTTACTTTCAAAGTTCTTTTTTTGTTATGGAACAAATTGCATTAGGTGGCGATCCTAAACACACTTAAGGAGTAAGCCCATTGAATGCTGTAGGGCTTAGTTTTGAATAAATAAATGCATACAGAGCTGTCCTGTTAATCTAACATTTGAAGACAACTGAGCAGAATTCTTTAGATTAAGTATAGCTTTTACTTCAGCTTTTTTTCTCTTTTTCTGTCAACAGGTCTTAAAGATGAGCTATAACAAAATCAAAGTTATTCGAGCAGACACATTTCAAGGTCTCATAAGTTTGGTACGGTTGCATGTGGATCATAATCAGATTGAATTTGTAAATCCACATGCTTTCTATGGTCTTACATCACTGAAGCTGGTCCACTTGGAAGGAAATTTACTTAAACAACTTCACCCAGATACTTTTGCTACTTTGCGTTATCTCCACATCTTCAAAACATCCTCCATAAAACATATCTACTTGTCTGACAACTTTCTGACTTCTCTTCCTGAAGACATTTTTTCCTATATGTCCAACCTAGAGAGCCTCTACCTTCATGGAAACCCCTGGACTTGTGATTGTACCCTGAGATGGTTTGCTGAGTGGGCAAAACAACAAACAGGTACTAAACATTCTCCTCTTTCTTTAGATACCAAATGTTGATTTATATGAAATTTTTAGCCTGCTCTTATGCTCTGTCCCAGACTCTCTTCTTTATTCTTCCCAGCAGATCAAGACAAAATAGCTTAAATAGGATCAATAAAAACAGTAGCAAATCATTATTACAATAAAAAGTGCATGAGATCTTTCAACAGTCTACTTAAAAGAGGAGATGCTAATGAAATTTTTCACTGATGGTTACTGTTGCTTCTTTTCCCCATGGGCTACTTGATTCTAATGGCAGTTCTAAAGTTAATTCAATACCAATTTTTCTTTGCTTGCAAGAATATATCTTGGCTGTTGGGTGGTCTACTTTAAGATACTCTAGTTTTCCTCAAAACTTCCATATCAGTGTTTAGTGCAGTAAGTACTGCAATAACTGTCAACACTTACAGTAAAGTATTGTAAACTTTTTCAGAATAACAAAAACTTCTGAGACCATTGTGAAGAAGTCCTTAACTTCAGTGTGTGAAAGAGGGCGAGAGAAAGGGGGTTTCCATGCCCATCATCACCATATCACTGCCAAGCATTCCTTTGTGAGGAATGCAGCCCTTGACTCAAAAAAGATTGTGCAGCAAGATAAGTCATATGGGGTTTAGCTGATCAGTGAAATTGGTCTATTAAAAATGACAGACATGAGGGGGGTTCATACAACATAAGCCACACTCACAGAAAGCTTTGCCATCTGATTTATAACCCACACTATTCCCGGGCTGTGTTATGAGTAGGCCTCTTTCTCCCAGACCTTTCCTTTTCTCTTCCCAGCAGATCAGGATAAGAGGCTTATAAGGACAGTCTTTTATTATGGTAAAACTGGGCAGCCAGGACTGGCTTTGTGATATAAAGAGAGTAAGGTAAAGCTTATTAGCAAGAATCATCTATCATTTGATGAGCTTTGCCCAATCTCAGGGGTGGCTTGTTTAGCATGTGGGCCAGAAATACCAGACATTACTTAATTGACTGGCTTTCTTGAACAACTTTGGGATAAACAGGCCCAGTCCCCATATTGTGTTGAATGGACAATTGTGCACATTGGGGATTGGGTGCTTCCTTCTCTGCCCTGGATGGCTGTCAGCAGCTCTCAGATCTGCCTGGCCAGAGCGGTAAACTTTCCTTTCTTCTTTCTTTCCTTCTTTCCTTCTTTGCTTCCTTCTTGCCATTCTTTCCAATTGGCTCTTCAGGGCTTTGGGCTAACCCTTGGCTTCAAGTGTCATCTAGGTTCAGACAATACTTGAAACACAGGGATGGCTTATAAAGCTGAGTGCAAACCATGTTAAAGGGATGGCTTGTAAACTCAAGGCTGGGCTTAAAAGCCAGCCCTGAAAGCACATCCAGCTTTGGACAACATGCTTAGCCACCTGGATTTATAAACCTTGGTGCTTTAATGTGTTTTGTGTGAACCCAATCATATGTGAGTGTTCTGTACCAGGCATCTTAGAAGTGGTATTCATGTCTTATATGTAAAGGAGGAATGCCTCATAAGAAGGTGCTAGAAACTATGCTACTTTTAAGTACCCTTTTAAAAAGAAAAACTGAGGTGCCATTTAAATCATTTTAATCAAATAGACAGTCCTACACCTGTCTACTCAGAAGTATGCCCTACTAAGCTCAATGGGTCTTACTTCTGGGTAAGTGGATATAGGATTGCCATCCTAATGTAACTTTAATGATCACAAACATGGAACAGCTTTGTGGTTGTCTTTATGTTGTGCTAGAACATATGAAATACTGCTGACTTGGGCACATATTTCATTTATGCTAGATTTACGGAATGTATTGCTTTCATAGTTAATTGTAAACAGAACTGTGCTTTTCCTCAGACAAGATTGGCTGGCAGATGCTTTTGTGGAAAAATGTTGTAGAAGTGCAAGATTCCACCAAAAGAATCTGGAGAATTTGCAGCCTCATGTAGAATTCTGGGTGACAGTTGTCCCTTTTTCCTATTTCCCTCCATTTCTGTTTGTTATTGCCACTTCGATAGTATTTGTCAAGAAGCTTGGATGATAAATTACCTATTACAGAGTTGCCAAATACTGAAAATTCATTCAAGGAGTCAATGTCATATTGATTTTTTCTGGGTAAATTCCTTCCAGTTATATGCATTTACCATATTTTAAGACACGGACAGATAAACTATTGTTCTGATGCTGTGGCATGAAATCTTGTGACAAAGAAACAGGACAATAGCAATAAATTGTTCCAGTAGGTTTCTAATTATTCTATCAAGCAGAAAAATGAACTGCCTCCCAAAATTAGAAAAAAAAGATATCTAGGACTATTCATTCAAAAATCTGGGTCCTAGAAGATTTATTTTTCCCTTGTGGGTGCTTTGGAATGATTCCCATGGAGATCTCATGAACACCCCTACAGAAGAATCCAAGAGTAGATTCCTGCTACCTTGTTGATCTATCAGACCTTGTACCTTGTTTGGTTGGTCTATCAGACTTTTTCATAGTCCTCTAGCATTTATATTTTCTTTGTCTGGAATTATATTGAGTCCTGTAGTGGAAATAGTCCTAAGTAAGGGGAAGGGGGAACGTACGTATTTGCCATCTTCAAGAATGATTGCCGTTTAGCATTTGTGCATTCTTTGCTTGGACTCATGCATGGTAGAAGAGGCAGGAGGACAGATTTGCCCTCTTCATTGATTACTGTGTTGCTGAAAAGGAGCAGTTTTTAATAACCGTGTTTCTATGCCCGCTACATAGTATTAAGAGGACTATAGAATTGTTCAAGTCAGAACTAGGATTCTGCACGTAGAGCTTCCTCTGCTTCTCTCGGAGCTCTGTTTTCCTGGGAACAACTATGGCAAGCAACTGCCTCTGCTTCTCCAAAGCTGTAAGACTGACCTCAGAGGAGAGGTTTGGGAGGGACAGTCACTGCCAAAGTACAACAGATCCTAAAACGGTTTAAAATGCTTTTTCTTTATTAAAATGCATGCGTATGACTATTCAGGAAGTGTAAAATTCTAGGGCCAAGAAAATGGGCATAAGAACAAGGTGGGTGACCAGATGTTCAACATAAAATACATCTGGTCACCCCGCAATGCTGGACAGAACAGACTTGAACATACACAAGTTGGTATTTTCTGATCTTGTGTCTTTTCTAAAGTCTGAAACCAGGCTCCCTCGGGCTTATTCTGAAAAGCCAAGGCCTTTGTCTTGGTCTGATCCCTTACAAGTAGATTCTGTAATGACGATGGCTAGTTGGCAAAAATGCACTGGCTTGTAAACAGTTCTGAATGATTGCTGATGGAAGTCTTCCCTGATAGCCACCAGAAATACCTTTCAGCAGAACATGCATTATTGCTTTTCCAGAATAGGTGAAGTAAAGACTATTTGACATTTTCTCTTTCCTCCACTCTAGATGTGGTAAAGTGCAAAAGAGACCGAGCTCCCCTGAGTATTCTGCATTGTCCATTGTGTGCCAGTCCCAAGAGTGCTAAAGGCAAACAATTAACCGGGATGCCACTCTCAGGTTTCACTTGTGTTAAACCAACTATAGACACAACCTTGAAATTGAAGAACATCACTTTGCCAGATGATGGCAACTTTATTTCAGTTTCTCCCAGAGATTTTATGGCTCCGTTAGGATCCATGGTGTTAAACATGACAGACCAAGCAGGAAATCAAGCAAACCTGGCTTGCAATGTGCAAAAGCCTGCAAAACTGTCTCCAGTTATGCTGAAGAGAATCAACAATATTACAGCCCTTGAAATATCCCTGTCCACATTTCTAGTGTGTAACATTAACTACGAGTACATACAGCCACTGTGGAGCATACTGGCCCTCTATAGTAATTCTCAGTTAAAACTGAAAAGGGATCACTTATTGACAGGAGTGCCCTATATTAGTTACAAGTATAAGCAAATGGATTCTGAAAATGAAGAACTTTTCACGAACATTGAAGCTGAATTGAGATCTGAGCCTCCTTGGCTGATGCAGGGCCAAGTGTCACTGCAGCTGGACAGGACAGCAACCACACTCAACACTATGCACATCCAATATTTAGTGGATGGGCAGATCACCCTCCCGAGTGCTGACTCAAAATCAGCAAGGCAAAACTGGGCCATGATCTTACGAGAAAACAGCACAAGAACTGAATGCTCCGTTTTAGTAGGCGAGAGTGTGGAACTGAACTGTCTGGCCCTTGGAAAGCCCACTCCTGTCCTTGAATGGGTATTAGCTGATGGGAGCAAGGTTAGAGCTCCATATGTTAGTGAAGATGGAAGAATGGTGATAACAAAATCTGGAAAGCTTATATTACATACAGCTGATAATTTTGACTCTGGAGTTTATCATTGTATAGGAACCAATTATGATGACGCAGATGTCCTGACTTTTAGGATTACTGTGATTGACTCTTCCATGGAACACGACTATTTTAATGGTCCTCAACTGTCAGCATTTTTAGGCGAGACGCTCTACCTTCCATGCCAGTCTACAGGTTCTCCAGATGCCTCTGTGACCTGGATCTTACCTGAGCAAACTGTTCTTCACCACTCTTCAAAGACCAAGCTCCTTTTTCACAATGGCACATTAAAAATAGAGCATATAACAGACCAGGATAGTGGTTACTTCAAGTGTGTAACAGCCAATCAATATGGTGTGGATGTTTTGGTTTACCAAGTACTAGTTAAAAGGAATCCAAGCAGATTGCAAAAACTAGATATGCAAATAAAAGATGAGGCAGCAGAAGGATCTGGCAATGAACTGCTTGAAAATATAACCAAACCTCAGAATCCTTCACTCGCCATACAAATCCAAGTAACTAATCAAGTGTCCACTGAAGCATCATCCATAAACTATCCCACATTAAACAAAACCAAAAATAATTACAAAGACTCTTACAGGTACAACAGGAACAAGATAAACAAACGATTTAGAGGATGGAGGAGACAGTTTAGTACCTCCAACAGGAGAATTGATCCATTGCGTTGGGCAGCATTTTTGGAAAAAACAAAGAATACCACATTGCTAAGAAAACAACAAAATGCCACAGTGAAACCAACAGTGAAAGTTCTTCTGTCTTCAGTGATTTCTGAAAATGAGGAAGAGGCCTCTGGAGATGATGTATTTGCAGGGGAAGAATTTATGCTTCTAGCAACTAAAAGACCTGCAGTATACACTCTGAGGGAAGCTTCGGGAAATGTGGCGACAGCAGCACTTGGAAGCATATCAGGTAATTACACTTCTCTGCCAACATCTGGCATAGTTTCAGAAACAGAAGTTCCAGTTTTCAGCCCAATGGTTACACACTCCAGGAACCAGAAGTTAGTTACAGAACTTAAATCTGAAACTGAAAAAGCAGTTCTTGCAGCACCTCCAACCCCATCTACCAGTACGGAGTCCTCAACAATACCACCATCTAAGCTATCAAGCAGTACAACAGAAAGTGTACGTACTTTCCAGATACTATCTGAAGAAACTAATGTGCATTTGAAAATCCCACCAACAGTAGTACCAGCAACAAATGTTACTAAGAGTAGCTGTTCTGTAACTTCTTGCAAAAATACTGAAAAGTCTGACTTGTTTGAAGAGGCAACTAACAAAATGTCACAGAAATTAAATAGTCATGTGTCTGTAATGACAGTTGGTGTACCTGTTGATGTTAATGATTACAATACACAAAGAATAACAACACCTAGGATACCAGCAGGATCAACTACAATTACTTCTCAACAGATAAATATAGTTAAGAATGCTGTGACTTACTCCCCATTGTCCAGGCGGTATGGCAGACGACGAAAGATCACCAGTAGAAGACGAATAGTTAGACCTGACCAAATTAACATTGCAAGTGATAGATTTGCTTACCTTAGATTAGGGTTTACTAAGGAAAGTACAACCCTACTCCCTCCAGAAGAAGTGAGCATACCTACCTCTGCTCCTCCCAACAGATTATTTGAACAAGTTATTTCCAAAGCACCAATTTCCACTTCATTCGAAACTTATTATCCGGAAGCAAAAACTGCAAGTCAAACCTTGACATTCTCAAGCAACAAACCAGATGCAGTCAAAAAACATACAACTTCTACAATAATTCCATTCTATCTTAAAAATATCCAAGCTGTATCACACAGAAAGATAACATCTGGTACATTATTACAAGCAGTTACTGACACAAACCTATTGTCTAGCATCAAATTCCCAATAACAATAATCCATAGTCCCAAAATAAGCATGGGAACCACATCTACCAATGTTGGCATATCACCTTTGGCTATTAAACCTACCCTTCCCACTCTTGGAACTAATGCCTCTTCCAGTGTTTCTGAAGGAAAATTTCATTGGCAAAATTTCTTTGGAGGCAACCATGTTCAGAAGGAGGGAATGGGAAAGCAATCCATATTACAAGCAAGTGAAGAATCCTCAGCTGTAGCATCTGTTATGCCTCTTCAAACTACAATCCCAATGTACAGCATTTCCTCAGAATATAAAGCTGCTGATTGGAAGATTGAGAACCAAATGGATGATCTCATAAACTTAATTAAACCTATCGATGACAACATGACACAGACAAAGAACAACTCTGTACTACCACTCAGTACTACGGAATTGCCATCTTCATCCTATGCATCCAGTCTTGCAACTGCTCTGAGAAAAGAAATTCATACCACTAGCATCACACCAAATATCAGTCCAACTGCTACTGCTCATCTAGAAAAGAAAGTTTCCAAATTCAAAGTGTTTGGACCAGGCAGAAGGAGGGGTCAAAGGAGAAGAAGACCTATGAAAAAGTTAGTGCCTTCCCACAAAAACATTATCAATAAAAAAATAACTACTGTGCCCAAAGAAACCAAGGGTTCTCCTATTTTGGAAATAACTAAAAAAATAATTCAGCCAGCTAGTCCCACACCAACTGAATTGTTTTCAAAATTCACCAATATGGATGTGATTACAACTAGACTACAGCCAGTAACTAGCACAACTGATATTAGTAGAGACAATGCATCCGTGATGACTGCTTGGATATTAGCAAGGAGTACTAGCACTGAAAATACCCACACTGCTAAGCTACCACTGGAAAATATGCCTTCTGCAAAACCTGCTACTACAATCCCACTGACAGTGTCATTCTTGGACACAGTAAATCCAGCCACAGAGGTACCAACCACAACCATGGTAACATTGGCACCGGTGTCTACCAAACCAACCCAGACTACTATAGTGGCAGATAAAGAGGCATATCATAATGTAGAATGGAAAACTATTGGGGAAAAGCCAGCAACACAAGCATCTCTTCCTCTTAAACCTGGGTTAAGTAGTCAAGTTTCTAATGCCGCACAAGAGCCTAACCAATTAACGTCCCAAACAGTGTTCATGCCACATGAAACTATTGCACAAACAACTGCATCTCCCGATTGGAGGAAAACATCTTGGCATGAGCCATTGGAAAGAGGCAAAACCCTCATTGTCAACACATTCACCATGCTGAAATCCCCACAGAGCTCCACTGAATATACCCCTTTGTGGAGGAAGAGCAAGAATAATCATATCAAAGGTATGTCTGAGAAGACAGCCGATCTGGAATCTACTACTGCTACTAATTTGTTTGCCTTAAATGCATTCTACCAAACCAGAGTGGAAAAACCCAGGATCATTGGAGGGAAATTTGCAGCATTTACTGCCTTAGCTGATTCAGATGCTTTCATCCCTTGTGAAGCTACTGGTAACCCTCTTCCAACAATACACTGGACCAAGATATCATCAGGTAAGTTTTGCAAGTTTATACTGAAGATTTTCCCATGGTCCCCAACCTTTTTGGGTCAGTGGTGCATCTGAAATTTTGAGAGAATGTTGCAGATACTCTCACATGGCTATCATGTGTGGCACGGCTGGTCACAAAACCATGGCTCATCATTTTTCAGGAGGCAAAATAGGTGAAATTAAAAGAAAATAACTTGTCTAGATCTATAATACAGGGCAGAGTTCCAACACAGAGATCCACTTCTTTCAATCTAAATAATGATGGTGCCAGAGGGCAGCATGCCAGTATCCAGTAAAAAAAGTATTTAAAAATTAACTAACATGAACATTAGGAGAGGCCCGTAGAATGGTAGGTGCAAGAGACGTGGTTCACACTGGTACCCACAGCTTCATACTGGGGTGGTTGTGAAGATGCACTGAATGCCAGTCTGCACAGCAGATAGATAGAACGAGGTGGGCTAGTGGATAGGCTAAGATTAGGAAGACCCAGATTTGGAACCATCTTTTGATGACATTGGGCAAGTTATTCTTTATCAGCTTTACCTCCTTCACTTGGTTTTTATGATGATCAAATGGAACAGAACCACTCATAGTATCTGAGCATCTTAGAAAAGAGATGTAATATAATAATAATAACAAAACAATAATAAAACAACAACCAATGTGTCTAATTTCTGTCTCCTTCCATGGAACTTACAAAGGAGTATTGTGATATATGATTGCAGCTGTCATGACACCCTTAAAATGGATTAAAAAACTAAGTTTACTGCAGGAAGTTAAAAGAGAGCAAGGTTAATAGAGTAGTATACACCTAAAAGTTAGATCATAATTGCATTAGGAAGAATGGTCGATGGCTAAACCGCAAGCCCTCAGGTGTGTTTTGTTTTGTTTTGTTTTTTCCATGAGTGCAAATAATGGATTCAAATCATTTCTGCGAAAGACTGTGTTCTGCCTAGTTCAAGATATTATCACTCTAGCCATTTCATTCTGTGATAAAGTTTATGGCCATTTTCCTACTTTTTAATACATTCTTGACAAATATATGAAAGATGCCAGAAAACTGCCTGAAAAGATATATGTGTAAGTTCTAGTATATGTGTAAACTATTCATAATTGCTGGGAACATAATGTAAGTGTGCAATTTTTAAAATTCCTTAAAACTGTTCTTATCAGGCATGTAAACGGCTAATTATGTCCAGTTTTGTAGCTATATATTGATTAAAAGCTGCAAAATTGGTAATGCATTAATATAGCATGAATATAGTAAAGAAACCTAGGCAGACAGATGTTATATTCTCCATTCTGAAAAGTATTATTGTACCAAACAAGTCAAAAGGCAAAATATCAAGACAGAGCTAATTTTATTTTCATTTTGTTAAATTAGGAGTAGATGCACCAAAACAGAAACGTGATAACAGATTTGAGGTTCTTCCAAATGGCACTCTTTCAATCCAGAATGTCAATGTCCAGGACCGTGGACAATACCTGTGTGTGGCTGCCAATCAGTATGGCTCAGACAAGCTCCTTATCACCCTGTCTGTGGTGACCTATCCACCTAGAATCCTGGGGCGAAGATCCAAGGTTATTACTGTTCATTCTGGCAAGGCATTAGCCATGAAGTGTACAGCTGAAGGCCGCCCCATTCCTACTATATCCTGGGTCCTCGCAAACAAAACTTATGTGTCAGAATCCTCTACAGGGAATGAGGCCGTTTTCCTGCAACCAGATGGCACACTGGTGATAAAGAAAGTCAGTGTTTATGACAGAGGGATTTACACATGCACTGCAAACAATCCAGCTGGTTCAGATACAGTGACAATAAGACTGCAGGTCGTTGCTGCACCACCCATTATTCTGGAAGAGAAGAAGCAGCATGTGATAGAGAACACGGGGCAAAGCTTAAGGTTTCCCTGCACTGCCAAAGGAAATCCTTATCCAGATGTTCACTGGGTCCTCTTTGATGGAACTGTGGTGAAGCCTTTGCAGTATATAAATGGCAAGCTATTTCTCTTCCCTAATGGAACCCTTTACATCAGGAATATTGCTTCTTCTGACAGTGGGAATTATGAATGCATAGCTACCAGTTCCACTGGCTCAGAAAGGAGGGTAGTAGTTCTCCAGGTAAAACATAGTGATATAATCCCCAGAATTGCAGTTTCATCACAAAGACTGACTCAAATGAGTTTTGGGGACAACTTGCTCCTGAATTGCTCAGCGACAGGAGAACCAAAGCCTAAAATAATCTGGAGATTACCGTCCAAAGCTGTTGTTGATCAGTGGCACCGGTAGGTCTCTTGGGTATTGCTTTTCTTTTTTATGAATCCTGCTGCAATACATGAAAGGATTTTGTGGTGTGGGGACAAAAGTTCTGCTTTTGTGTCACCAAGGAGTGAATCAAGAAGAGAGGTGTTTGTCTATCTCGGCTGTCCTACTCTTTTTTGAGTTTTCTGGATGCTGTTTGCTGAGTTGGTTAAATGCTGAGGAAGGACAGGCAGAAGGCCCTATGGAGGAAAATGCAAAAAAGGGGCCTAGGAAAGTAAAGGTTCCAGAACCAGATGGGGTGAACCAGACATAACAAAAGGGCACTGAGTCAAGGGAGCTGTTTATGTGAACAGAACAAGCCCCCGTGGCTTACAGATAACCCTAAACAACCCACAGGTCATTTGGGACTTGTTTGACCCTACAAGAAGTGGTGCTGCCAAGATTCAGACAACACAATGAGCTGTGGTGATTAAGTCAATCACATCTGCCATATGGTGGGGCTGGTTTAAGTCATGATGGTCACACAGAACTGCCAAACTAATCCTTAATATTGTTTATAAATGATACATATAATAATGGGGGATGGAAAGATCATCCAGGCTTAAATGGAGGAGCTTGAAATGCAAGGCCTTTGTCATATATGGGATGGTATAACCATAGTAACAATATTACTGTTTAGCCAACAAGAACAGAAAAGGCATAGGGAGGGTTTACACAACACTTTAAGCCCCTGGGACGTTTCATCCATGCATCGTGGCTAACAGTCTTCTGTGCCAGATAGATGGCCAGGCACAGCAGAGCCCATGTGCCTCTCCCTCTTTCCTCTCCTCCTGCATTATTGGCAAGTCAGGATGTCACCTGAGCCATGGCAGCCCATCTTGAGAGCCACACCATGGCCCCCTGCTGCCTAAAATTGCAGCAGCTGCTGTTAAAGGCACCTTTCCTGACCCATTTTTGAGGCAATTGGCAGCTTCAAGTTTGTCCAGCAGCACCTTGGGGAGGCTACACAAGATCTATGCCTCCCTTTTGCATGCAGCCACCCTATCAAAATATGAGCAGAAGACCACACTTTGTGGAAAAGGACATTTTCCCCCCTTTTTGCAGTGCAGTCCTCCAATTTTTTGAGGGAGATATGCAGTCTCAGGTGTTCCCCAAGTGTTGTCAGTGCCTCTCCACTGCTACCAGCAAGGGAAACACGTCAAAACTTAAGAAAAGTCCAATGTAGGGAGGCAGGATTGTACCTTTAAGTCACAGGCCTCATGCCCCCACTCCGACTGGGGTTCCATCATGTTTTGTCACTTCTTGAGGTGTTATAAACTGCAAAACTTGAGGGGATACTTGGGGCTTCCTAGTACCTCCCAAAAACACCCCTGCAAGGATTTTGCTTGGATGATATCCACCCAAATTTGCTTTTTTAGGTGTTCTTGATATTTTTTTTAGTGGGGCCCTTGTGCCAGAACATCCTCTCCAAAAAGACCAACAACCTCACTGCTGGTGATTCTAATACATTAGGTGCTTTCAATACTTAATGCCTTCAAAGAAATAAAAAAACTAATAGCTAGCTATGAGCTCAAAGTTATGACTTAGCACATACACTGTGTCCATGCATGGTGAACCTGCATGAGGTAGCAGGCAATATGGCTTCTGGAACCATCAAGAAAGATCATAGAATAGAATCATAGAATAGCAGAGATGGAAAGGGCCATTGGACCATCATGTCTAACCCCTTGATGAAAGTGTCAAAAGTGACAGTGTCAAAGAAACCTTCCTGTTCCCATGATTTTGTCATACAGATGTTACCAGAAGGGTGTGGAAAACGTTTCAGTACCACAACACTAATGTCCAAATCCATGACGTACTTGTAGTCTTTATGACTGTTGCATGATTGCCCTAAGTTGCCATCCAGGAATCAGCAACTTTACAGCAAGGTCTTAGCATTTGCTGGCACAGAGGAAAGGAACTAATTCTTTTTTCCCATCCCTTTCTAGAATGGGGAGTCGAATCCATGTTCACCCCAATGGATCCTTGGCTATCAAGACAGTCACTGAAAAGGATGCAGGTGACTATATATGTGTGGCAAGGAACAAAATGGGAGATGACCTGATCCTTATGAAAGTCAGTGTGACAATGAAGCCTGCAAAAATTGATCAAAAACAATATTTTATGAAACTGGTGCCTTATGGGAAAGACTTCAAAGTAGATTGCAAAGCTTCAGGGGCACCTGAACCAGAGATATCTTGGAGTTTGCCTGATGGCACAATGATCAACAATGTGATGCAAGCCGATGACAGTGGGCACAGGTCTCGAAGATACACTCTGTTTGACAATGGAACTCTCTATTTCAACAAGGTTGGGATAGCTGAAGAGGGGGACTACACGTGTTATGCCCAAAACACGCTTGGTAAAGATGAGATGAAAGTACACATAACAGTAGTAGCAACTGCACCTCGTATCAAGCAGGATTCTAAGAAGGATGCAAAGGTAAAAGCAGGAGATACTGCACGTTTTGATTGCGATGCTACAGGGGAACCTAAGCCAAAAATATTTTGGCTGTTGCCTTCCAATGACATGATTTCAGCTTCCACTCATAGGTATTTTCTTCATACTAATGGCTCACTGTCTGTCACTAAGGTGAAGCTCATAGATGCTGGAGAGTATATATGTGTCGCACGCAACTCTGGTGGAGATGATACAAAGCAATATAAACTAGAAGTAGTCTCCAAACCTCCTTTGATCAATGGCTTGTATACAAACAAGACTATCATTAAAATGACAGCCATCAGACACTCAAAAAAGCAAATTCATTGTAGAGCTGAAGGAACACCCATACCTCAAGTCATGTGGATTATGCCTGACAACATTTTCCTGACAGCTCCATACTATGGGAGCAGAATAACAGTGCACCAAAATGGAACTCTTGAAATTCGCAATGTAAGACCTTCAGATACTGCAGAGTTTATCTGCGTGGCACGTAATGATGGGGGAGAAAGCATATTAGTGGTCCAGCTGGAGGTGTTAGAGATGCTAAGGCGCCCAATGTTCAGAAATCCATTTAATGAGAAAGTAATTGCAAAGTCTGGAAAAACTACTTTCTTAAATTGCTCTGTAGATGGAAACCCACCTCCTGAGATAATGTGGATGTTACCAAATGGCACTCGACTTTCCAGTGGTTTTAAAACTGCCCGGTACTTTTTGGAAAGCAATGGCACTCTTGTCATCTATGGTCTTTCTAATGCAGATTCAGGCAAATACCGATGTGCTGCTAAGAATAAAGTTGGCTACATTGAAAAGTTAATCATATTAGAAGTTGGCCAAAAACCCACCATTTTTATCCATCCAAAAGGAACAGTAAAAGGCATTAGTGGGGAATCATTATTCCTCCACTGCCTTGCTGGTGGAAACCCCAAACCAAACATCATATGGACAGTTCCCAGTGGCTATGTCCTAGTCCATCCTCAAATTAATGAGAAATACACATTACTGGAAAATGGTACCTTGGTTATCCAAGAAACAACCATTCATGACAGAGGAAGCTATACATGCAAAGCTCAGAACTATGCTGGTGATTCAACAGTAACTGTTTTTGTAATAATTGTGGCACATCCACCAAGGATTACAAACAGACCACCAAGGAATGTTCGCGCTGTGGCGGGAGTAGCAGTTCAGCTTCACTGCATGGCCCTAGGAATACCAAATCCAGAAATTACATGGGAGCTTCCTGACCGGTCACTGCTTTCCACAGGCAGCAAAGGCCAACCACCTAGAAGTGAATTTCTTCATCCACAGGGAACATTAGTCATTCAGAATCCAAAGTCATCAGATTCTGGCATGTATAAGTGTATGGCTAAAAACCAGCTTGGGAGTGATTCTGTAGTAACCTATGTTCAAGTAATCTGAAATGAGAACAGTCTTAATAACTGACAACCTAGTATAAGCTGGACCATGCAGGCTTTTGAAGATGTTTAATCAAAATCAGTCAAATGGCATCTCACTCCCTTTCTAATTCCTGCTCTTGGTTTACAATAGACAGATTTGGGGTGAAATCTGCATTATGTTTGAATATTGGTCTTTTAGTAATATTTTAAAAATATCCTTAAAACTGAAGGCACTTAATTTTCCACAAAAAGTAATAGCGAATACAAACATAAATACTTTAATCAAATAATGTTTGCAATATTACTGGAAATATGTAGTAAAAGGATGGGTTTTGTAAAATGCTGATTTGTTATTTCCCATTTGATAGCCGTATAAGCACAGTATACAGTGTAAAGGTTATAAAAAAGCCATGTACAAAAGAAATATTGCTTTGTTACCTTACTGACTTTTATGAATATTTTGTAGTTCACTTTCAGATATTTTAAAAACAAAGGGTCTGATCTGTTTGTAATACAAAAATTTTCTTCTTTTGTGAAAGTGTCCTTTTTTGTGGGGCAACAGAAGAACTAATAGAAAATAATTGAATGACAGTATTGCTGCTGTTTTAAAAGAAACCATGTGGATTATTTTTCTAAAATAAAGAACTGCCAAACTTGTGTATAAAGTAGTATAGATTTCAATAATTATCTTATCGTCAAATATTCAGCTGTTAACTATTTTGTATTTCAAGAAGTATAGTTTAATATTTTTTCTTATACAAAGGACACACTGTATTACCAGTGGCTGGGAACCAACAACAGGTCTCCTTATCAGTGTCTAGAATCATCTAGCTTGGCACTGTTGGAAAGATTATGACTAAACCAGAGATGATAAATGGGCAGCGCTTCAGCTGTTGTTGAATTGTTATTCCCATCATTCCTCATCCTTAATTAAGAGTCACAGCCAAACAAAATCTTCACAGCTACATGTTCCCCACTTCTGCTCTGAAGCACAACAGAATTTCCCAAACCTTCTTCGCACCATCAGTGAAGGGTCAGTGGGGTTCACTGTCTCTTACCAGAATCCCAATGAGTTGAGCTTAGTTTCCTGGCTAGTGTCAGCAGCATGGCAGGCTCTCAACCCAGCACAATGGACAGGCAAAGGACACCTGGTGAGGGAGATGCCCTCAGTGATACCACATGCTTTGACTTGTGATACCACATGCTTTGACTTGATTGCAGTTTCCTATGTTGGCCAAAATAAGCAACTCCTGACGTGACCAAGGGGAAAAGGGAAAGAAAGGAAGGAAAGAGGGTGAGGGTAAAAGGAGCACAGAGAGAATGTGCAGTAGAAGCTACAACAGCAAGAGAGGAAATCCAGGATGTGGAAAAGACCAACAAAGGAGAGACCAAGAAAAGATGTGACTTGGAAAAGACTGAGAGCAGGTACACATGCTGTTTGTGGCTAGGGCATGTAGTCCAATTACCAGCAGCTCCAGTCTGACTCTAAAGAGGAGAAAGCTTGTTCTGGTTCCTTTTGCTGACAAGCCCTGGGTAGGATTCCATAGCTCACTTGCTACACTATTTCAGGAAGATGCGGGGTTTAAATCAAGTTATGTATTGGCTGCAGGCCGCCAAGAGCAGCTATTGGGGAAGCAAGTGGCAACCCTGGGTTTTCTACCAGCTATTTCCCCTGGAGTTATTATAGCCAGTGGTTAATTCATAGGGAGAAGAACCCTGCCATGATGTATACAGCCTAGCATATTGCTGTTTTGGAGTGGTGACTCCTCTTTTTGTTTCAGTTTAACTGGACTTTTGGTGCATGTACCCAAGAAGCATTCAATAAAAGTGGCATTCAATTAAAATGCTGTTGCTGATGGAAGCACTGGAGCAGAGTGAGTTTGAGGTTCTTCAGCCAGAACCAGTGGCACCATCTTACTAAAAATATTTTAGTATTTAATGGGAGTCAAGTGTGAAACTTGACTTACAAAGTGAGATAAGCTTTGAATGTTTACATTCTGAATGTGACCTGGCAAAGAAGCAGAGCTTTGCTTTCTGGAAACCATGACCCTTGTTCCATCAGAGTCTGTGGATCATGCAGGGTTCTTTCCTTCCCTTATTTTGTAAGCAACCTATTTTGAGGAGGGATCATATGTCTGTGTCCAACTTGTCCCAGCTTTGGTGTGTATTTGGTAACAAGGTACGGAGCTCCTTTTTCTCCAACTTTAAGCCCACAACTATTGCTCCAGGAGTGTTTCCCCATGCTAACTGCTCAAGAACTGAGGTTGGACATGTGTCTCTATTATTCCTTGATATGTGAGAGGAAACAATTCATAATCCCTTGTATTATCAAAAGATCCAAATAGCTATCAAAATACTCATCCAAATTTCTGCCCATTAGGAGAAAAATTGTATTTCAGACTTTCTTAAGAAATGTTGCTCCAAACCTGAAGATGATTTGTTCTTATAGTTTTAGTCTCACATTCTTCCCATGCCTCAGTTCTGCCTTGACACATGAGAGATAATTAAAAGCTTCTGAATAAATCATGGTTTCCTTTTACATCTGATCTTCTGCCCTGGACATTGTTATGTGCTTTGTTCCTGAATGGAGATATAATTATCCAGGGAGAGTCTAATAGAACCACCACTGACTTCAGTAAGACAAAGCAGCAGGCAGAAGTCGACACCTATTTTTTTCTCCCAGGATGAAAAAGCTGCATAGGGAAGTCCATGCCTGCTGAAATTTAAGCAACTGTATTTGAATGTGCTTGTAACCTGCCTAAATTGTGGAAAACGTGTGGTAGAATTCTATCAAAGAAAAAAATGAATGGAACCTAAAAGCCTACTCCCCCTCCACCCGAAGCATAGTCAGAATACAAAACCTTTACATTACTTCCAGAGGTCCTCAGGGATGGCATATCTCAAAAGAAGAAAGTTCTAAAATGGTGGGCAGCTCAGAGTGGTCCCACAAAATAATTACTCCAGTATAGCATTAAAGTGTAATGTTCTGGCATGCGATTTTTAACACAACAAAGAAGCCTGCCATAGACATCCAGATGTCTTAAACTACAGTTTCTAGCATGTCTGACCATTGGGTATGCTAGCTAAAACTGGTGACAATCAGGTTCAAAACATCTGGAGGGCACTAGTTTGGAGAAGCTGGTCTACAATTATCACAATCTATCCTTAACTTTTGCAGCCAAGTTTCCATCTGTAAGAACAACAACAAGAAGCATCTTGCCCAAAGGGAAAATTTGTCAGCAACCTAATCCACATGAAGTAAGATTTCAGAAAATGTGTGTGAGAGAGAGAATGTGTGTATGAAACTATTCATTGGTGCCTAACAGGAAAGCTCCAAGAGCTTCCAGAGCTATTGATAGCTGGACAAGACAGACCTTGGTCTGATCCCTCAAGACTTACATATTAATTTAAATTCAAGCAAGGTTGGAGAAGGAAGAGCAATGTCCAAAAGTATCGGAATTGTTTTGCAAAATAGGTTCTTCAGCTACTTTACACAATGACTAAGCCAAGCAATTAAATTATGCAGGATGGTAAAATAGTAAGATCTCAAAGTGGTAAGCAACAAAATGCCTAAAGAACAAATGACACTGAGTTTTTAAGAAATCCACAATCATATATACAGTGATGGGATCTGTGCACTTTTATAACCACTTTTTTTTAACTTATTGTTGTAAGCCGCCCCGAGGCTTCGGCGAATGGGGCTGCATAAAAATGTTTTAATAAATAATAAATAAATAAATAACCAGACATTATGAAGTCATTAGTAAATATGTATAATTGAGAATGGAAAAGTGTAAGGTCAGTGATTGGCAGCAAAGTAAACCTGAATTGGGAATTGCTGAGGTATCATTAAAAAATATTTTCAGCTATTAAGCAAACATGAATGTTGGGAGAAGTAGCAGGGCTTTCATGCTTCAAGCAACAGTAATCTGAGTATATACTACTGACCAGTTTGGAACTAAATGTTTTCCCAAAATGCAACTAAGTGTTTTCACAGTGTACACAGTGATTGACAAATGTATTTATTATTGTAAAGATTTGGACATTCTTTTGGGAAATGCAATAACCCAGTAATACACTGCAAATGTAATTCTACATAGTTTGACTAGTTTGATTGGTAGATATTGTTTTATTCACAGTAAGCCTTATGGTAATTTTATCACAAGGCAAATGAAAGATTCATACAGAAAACATGGTAAAATAGTCCCAAGTATTTGTAAATGCCCTACATGAGTCATATTCAAAATTTGTGCATCTAATTCTAAAAAGATATCACAGAATTTCAAAATTCACAAAACTGTAGTTTCTTTTGATTATTTTCACTCTAATATGAGCAAATACCACTTTCACAAGGTTAAAATAGTTTCTATTTTATAATAATAAATTTGATGAATAATTTACTTGTGCTTCTGCAGCAAATTTATAAATACAATTGTATTTACACAACTAAAAATAACCAAAGTTGAAATCTTGAATACCTACAATACAAAATAATGAGGACTGTTTCGAAGACTAGAAAACTAAGGCTTAGTTCTCACAAACCGTAGCCAAGGTTGTAAACCTGTCCCTGGACTGTCATGGGGACTCATGACTGAATGCTCCTCCATAAAGTTGCAAGTTCTTTGCAAATGCAAGTTCTAGCCAATTTCCTCTTTGACACACCTGTCTCTGCGTAGCCTTTCCCCCTCCCCTCCCATGGGAAGCATTTGTTACCCCTTCCCTGCAGTGGTAATTGTCCAGGGACAGGTATACCACCTCATTAGCTCTTTGTAAGATCAACAACCTCTTCTTACAAACAGCTGATAAGGTAATTCTAGATGAGGACTCACAGTGTAGAATGCTTCCCATGGGAAAATACATCTCTATATTGGACCAACACAGAGGCAGTTCCAATGCTGGAGAGTCATGGAAAGAAATTATTCTAAAGCATTAAGAAGCAAAACAGTTCTTTCTTCACATTGCTGGGAAACATTTGTACTCTTTTCTTTTGAAACCATTTTTCTTAAATTATGATCGAATACC